TCATAATATAAAATATTCTTGTTTTTCAATAGGTACTTAGTTTGAACCTCACCAACCTGGTTATTCTGATAGTACTTAAAGCATTAGTACTTGCTGCGGGCTTCTTTGGAGCCGGCGCTTGGAAGGGTCACCACTATGCAAGAAGTTTTGAAGGTATTGAAACTTTTTAAATCATTCTGTCTTTACCTTCAAGGTAATGTAAAAGATGCTTCGTCTTATTACCTCCTTTGTGGCTTAGTTCGACATGGCATGGTACTTCCATACTAGTATAGAGGTGAAGTTCCCGGCACAAAAATAATTGTTTTTATTTGGATGGCAAACGCGACACAATATGTGTTTGATTAATCACGATTGAAATGGAATACAAAGAATAGATGTTTCATATTTCACGATGTCCATAAAATTATCGTTTGCGTAAATAATTATTAATTGCTGTCATAGATTTCTTTATTAATTGGTTAAATCGCATTACTAGCACAAATTTGTTTCAAAGATAGTTTGGTTTATTTATATGGTATCAGAAATTTTATTAATTAATTGTGAGAGGAGAACGATAAAAAGTAATTTCTTTAATTATAAATAAACCCTAAATCGTAGTTTTAAACTATTATGACAGTGAATTTGCTTTAAAATCGAGCAACCATTTTTTTCATAGTATATATACATATTTTAATATATAATGCTATATATTATGTCATATTGTCATTAATTACATAACCCTTCCTACTTCCGAGTTCCGACACCGGTAAACTACCATGACCACCTAGATTCATCATACAATAAGCCGGAAGCTTATACACACATCTGCGTATACTTTCATACAATTATAGCTTCACTGCCATTCTAATTAAGTTCTAAATTCTATAAAATATTAAAGCTTGACCACGTGCCAAAACTGACCAAGCATTTTAAGTTAATCCCGTACAAAATGCGTCCTTCATATCCACTCTGGAATAATCCCATTGCTGGAGGATTATCTTCTGCTTCATGATAATGTTATTATGGCTTTTGTTTTTTTTGCTTTAAAGGTGAAAAGGCTTATGCGCTGCGATGTCCATTATTATTCGACATCATTACTCAGACAGGAAATAATTTCGACAATAATGTCCTGTTATAAATTTTCTTTCACAATTTCGTTTATTTTTTTTTTCATTTCACAAATTGAAAGTAACGCAATATTACTAACTGTATTCAAAACGATTTGACCTATGACCTGACATGAATTAAAATATTATACAAGGCCGACCGAAAATGACACAGAGACATTAAAAAAACATTCTAGAACTTAGGCTTTACACGTAATTATACAATTGACTGAATTATTCAATGTTTTATAAATAACATATTAATTTAATTATGTCCAGTGGCGTAACTATACAATCTGGGGCTCGTGGCAAATCTTCTTTCGTGGCAATTCTTTTGATGGGGCCCTATTAGTAAAAATCGTCCCTACGCAGTTTAATTTTAATAAACTACGAGATTTTCAGCGTACTCAATCACACGTTGTATATGTCCCACTAATGGCCATAGGCCTCCTTCCTTAGGCGAGAGGGAATGGTCTGTAGTCCCCATTTTACGGTAAAGATATAAGGTTCTAGCAGCTAAATTAACAGTAAAATATTTAGTTTCATGTAAGAAGTTTACATCATTTTTTTTTTTTTTTATTTTTTAAAGATTTAAAAAAAAAAAAAATTTTTTAAAACCATTGCAATCTTCAGTAAATCCGTAAAGTAAAATTGTTAACAGGACCGGAATTTAAAAAAAAAAAGAAAAAAAAAAAAAAAGGGGGGAAAAAAAAAAAAAAAAAATATAACATTCATCCATAGAACATAATATCTCTTTTTTTTTGATTTTTAAATAATTTTTTTTTTTTTTAAAATTTCTAAGAAAAAAAAAACTTTTAAATTTTTTTTAAAAAAAAAATATTTTTTTTAAAATATTTTTTTTTTTTCAAAAAAAAAAAAATTTTTTTTTTTTTTTTTTTTTTTTTTTTTTTTTTTTTTTGGGTTTTTTTTTTTTTTTTTTTTTTTTGGGGGGGGGGGTTTGTTTGGGTGTGCCGCAAAAGGGGCCCTAATTGGGCCTTCGGGCCCTATTGGGTCGGAAGCCCGTGGCATTTTACCAGCCCAGCCACCCTATTGTTACGCCACTGATTCTGTCTCATTTTGAAGTTTGATTCGATAATTCGGTTTCATATTAGGTTGTAAGGATAAATATTGTATTGCTAATAAATTTTAACCAAACTTGCAGGTAATAAAAACGCATCCTATATCACAGAAGATGAAATTCTTCTGTACCTAAGTTACCTTGTTGGACAACAGTCACAAGACTACGGCTGTTTATACCGTCTCTCTTGCCAACGGCCGGGACAGGCTGCCATCTATGCGTCGGGAGCTGAACTTTTGTTGCAGGGGACCAAGCTCATACAAGGGTGAGAAATTTTTAGTTATGAGATACGTAATTGGCATTTTTATTTTTAAAGTCACTTTGTATATTTACAAATATTTGCTGGTCTTTAATATGTAGAATGTGAAAATGACGGCTCATTGGTCTAGTGGTTAGTACCCCTGACTGCGAATCCATGGGTCCCGGGTTCGATCCCCGGCTGAGACAAGCATCGATGTGATGAGCATTTGGTGTAGTGCTTAGGTCTTGGGTGTTTAAATATGTATTTATATGTCTATCTATAATATGTATATCCGTTGCCTAGTACCCATAACACAAGCTTCACCAGCTTAGCATGGGACTAGGTCAATTGGTATGAACTGTCAAAAAAACAAAAAGAAGAATGAGTTGGTAGCTGATAATTGCCGCAGTTTCACATTTTGAATTAATTAATTTTTAACCAATTGGTAGCAGAGCGTTTAGAAGAACTACTTCTGCAATCCGACGAGACGTGTTTTTTTGTTCAAGGCGTTTATGAACTAATAATTGGGTCACTATAATCAATACTGGCATTAAGAGAATGATAATAACACTTTATTTACATCACAATAACACAACACAGGAGAAACATAAAATAAATGGAGACTGACGGACAATAAAATAAAATAAATGGGCGGTCTTACTATTAAAAGCAGTTTCTTCCAGACGAACTTCCTAAATATAAATAACATAACTGCGAATGTAGTGCATAATCGTCACATAATTAAATATTCCGTCTCTTATTTTATGTAAGTAAACTACTGCTAACAGTTTGTGAGACTAGGATTATGGTTTTATTACTATTTAGCATGAACAGTTCTAAAAACGTTGTCTATGCGTGCTTACATGTAAAATTGTATACTACAATCGGAACCTAAAACCAAGTACAATTCGTAATAATAAATCTTTGGAGGAACGAAGGAAGGTACTCAGACCTAAAGGGAGGAACTCGCACAGAACCAGAACCATCCGACTCCCAGGACCAACATTGGGTTCCGCGAGCCTCTTCACAGAATGTGTTCTACGTTGGATTTTGCCACTAATATCGACATTTTTTCGCACTACTCTACTGCTTCATTTATGAATAAGTTAAAACAACTATTATTGTCCTAAGCCTTGTATTTTTCTTCTTTATTATATCTACTAGCCGTTGTTAGACCATTGATGTTTGTCGCTTTGTAACTTATTTTTATAAGTGAAACTTTTTGTGTATTTATCCAATGTGTTAATTGTACTTTATATTTCCTTTTTACTTTATAGAGATGTATTGTTGTTATATATAATAAATAAATAAACTCAAGTAGTCTAATCAATGACTGCCAGATCCAAACGAACTAGGACTGTCGATAAGTAGACATCTATTGTGGCTGGAATAACTTTATTAGCGCATGTTCGTCATCGTACTGATTGTATGTGTCTATAAATTTAACTTAATTAAATACAGCTATAAAACAGACATTTAAACGTATGGTATAAAATAACTTCAGGATTTCGGAGAGTAAAAGTTTATTGTCATTTAATATAAATAATCAACGCACAATACTTCACAAAATAACACGAATAAACGTTTGCAGGAACAGTATTGATTTGGAACCATACGAAGACGTATCCAGAGGTATTCAGCAGGCAGCCGCATTAGGCCAACAAGGAGTTTCCTGTGACAGATACCAGTGTACTTAAGTCCTCACTAGGTTCCATAGTATCACGGCCCTGAATAAGAATAATATGAAAATTAATTCCACTCCATTGTAATTAAACGCGTTCTATTTAAAACTTATTGTTACGAGTTTAGTACTAATTAAATACTTATAATTTATTATTTATTTTCATCTATCTTTAGCTACTGCTCATTTATTTTTCAGCTATAAAGTAATTCTCGAAGCCTTAAATCATTATAAAAAATTACGCAAACAAGTCTAAATTATTATAATATTTTCTTACAACACACAACATTTGAATACAAAAATTGAGTTTGATAATATTGTATGGATGAGTAAAACCTTCTCCCATGAATCTTCTGTATTACTAACAATTTAAGTAGGTCAGTTAAGTAGCCCTAATACTTATCTACTGCATGAGTCACGCTCTTTTACTTCCTAAAATACCTTATACGAAACCTTTACGTTACCCAACTTTAAAATTGGGTAACGTAAAGGTTTTACAAAATTTACAAAACTTTCATTGGTTAGACAACTATACTTAATGAACCGACTATTTTGTAAACAAACACCGACCACACACATCATACACAACCCTAACATACATATACTTTCTTCGCCCAACGCTTTTTCTCTTTCCCTATCTTCAACCACTTTCTCAAACACATTATTTTCACTCTCGATTCAAATCTTTATACTATATTCACTAACAATCGTAAGCAAGATAAGACTGTAAATGTTATGTAGAGTTTATTACGCCAAGTACCTAAATCATTAATAAGTCAAATGGAAGAGACAACCACGATACAAGGAATCCTAGTAGCTACTTTCTATTCATTTTACTGTACAACATTATTTTATTATGTGTACCTAATAAAGATTTTCTATCTTTCAAGTCAACTCGTAATATTGTTACCTGTGCTATATGGAGCCTGCAGCTACAACTCTAGGCGTCCTCTCTGAAGGATTATTCAGTCTCGCCGCGCGGTATTCCGCGTAGGATACATAGCCGTCTCCGTCCGTGTCATCTGTCTCTAACGTTTTATCCACTAAGGCTGCAGGGATATTAATAATATGACAAATGATAGACTTATAGATCTCTTGTAGCTTTGGTATATATAGAAACAATTGAAACTTATAAATATAAGTTTAAAATCAAGATTAGCATTTGCAATGTATGCCGAGACACGATATGCGTCATTAGTAGAAGTGTTCTTTATTATACGGAAACAAAATTATCAAAGGACTAGTCTCCACCCGTCTCCGTCTGTGTCTGTCTGTGAAGGCTACAGGAATATGAATAATTGGACAAATGATAGATTTATAGATCTCTTGTAAAAATAATAATAATGGCAACGCAAGCTTTCTTAATATTGTTACTCATTATTGTAATACGAAACGTACGAGTGTACTCAATGAAATTTACCGTCGTACTGACGCGATTCGTATTGAATGTGTAGTATACCAAAAAAATACAGATAAATATCTCGATAAATATCACGAAAAATATCAAACGTGTAGCATTCGCCATTGGTATGTATAGAAACAATTGAAACTTAAGGGTTAGTTTAATATCAAGAATAGCATACGTAATGTATGCTGAGAAACGATGTGCGTCTTTAGTAGAAGTGTTCTTCATTATACGGAAACTAAATTATAAAAAAGAACTAGTCTCCGCCCGCATCATCGCGTCGCCTGGATTTGAATCGTATAAAAATGCATTCGGTAGTCTTTGAGTTTATACAGATGGCCATCATGACGCGGCCGGAGGTCTTTATATAATGTATGAATAAGGATAAAGGCTTGCCGATGACAGGGAGAGTAGAGGAAGATGAGCGAGGCACCTTAAGAAATGAGGAGCGCGACTAAAGGATATAGGCATTATTAAAATAAACAATAACACAATCTTTGAAGCCAGCGTCTATAATGTAGACCTACAGGCCTCTAAGGAGGCCTCCAAGCGGTAGAATAAAAGGCCGACAACGCACTGAAACTCAGGTAATTGTGACATCAAAAGGATACTAGAAAGTTTATTCAATAGAAATATCAGTTATTACCAATGTATTCATCAATATGGTTTGCTTCAGGCTCTATTGGCGTTTCCGCTTCAGAATGTTCATGGTCCATTGTATGATATACAGCCTAGAAATAAAATCATTCGATAATAAGATAAAATAAAATTTTACATTTAAAACCTACACAACCGGGATATCGGGAACAGAAGACAGACATAATATTTATTACTAAAGAAACACTAAATAATAATAATAATCAAGAAAGAAAAATATTTAAAAAAATATGGAAAGAAAAAAAATTGAATAAGGTACATTTTAAGTGTGTAATGTGTGTCTGTGTGTTGTGTTTGTAACTGGCTCTGGCTCAGCATTATGCTGTGGAGCAGTCGTGTTCCACATCGCTGGTCATTCTGCCAGAGACAACAACAGTTAATTTGCATCTCAGACGCAAAAAAATAAAAATAATGTAATAATAGTGAAAATTAACAAAGTAAAGAAGTCTTGGAAGATTTGTGTGTAAAAGTATATAGTAAATAAAAAATAAATAAAATAAGAATATTAACATTATTTAATTTCCTTTGCTGTCGTACAATTATAAAAAGCGTTCGTCGAATACTTTACTAAAGTTATTAACTATAAAATTATATAATTTTAAGTACTTAGGAACAATAAAAAGGCAATGCAAATTAAATAAATATATCAATTCCTTCACCTTTAACATCTCTAGGCCGTCTAACATGGAGTTCCTGTCGAAGTCATGAGCGGAGAAATAATGGAACTCCAACTCCTCAGGGGTCATATTGGCCAATAATTCCGGTGTCAGCACTTTTATATCCTCTTCTATGTGTCTGTAAATATTTTATTACACAACCACAGTGGGTTTTTTTATAGAACAAAAAAAAACGGCAGGCTCATCTGATGTTTAATGTGCTACCGACACTCTTAATGCCAGAGGGCTCGAGTGCGTTGCCGGCCCTTTAAGAATTGGTACGCACTTTCAAGGACCCTAAGTAGAATTGGTTCGTAAATACTTCAGTGGCTAGCTGGTTCCACATAGAGGTGGTGCGGCCAAATCTGCCTTAAAATCGCTTAGTTGTGGAACGCGGACTTCGATACGGGTGGAATTTCGTATACTTTTTGATGTCAACCATAACTTACTTCGTATCATGCAATAATTGAGATTCTTGAGTGAGCTTCTCTGTTCCTCTCGGGCTATAGTGGCTGTGTGTCTTCTGTATACCCTGCCCGTGGGGTGATGAGGACCGCGACGCATGCTGGCTGACATACTGCTCAGAAATAGGAGTGCTACCGCTGTGGAATAGAGAATTATTTGTTTACAAGGGAATAAATTTATAAAATAGATAGCAATTAAAAGTTTTGGATAAATGAAAAATATGCAATATCCTTCTATATTTCCGTGGAAAGCATAAATAAACAGCTCTCGCATCTAGAAAACCCTATCAGTGTAAGGTAATTGATCTGATAAACTTCATATGAACTTTTTAACGCACCGAATATCCTATTTCAGTTTGTAAATACAAACAAGAAAAAATGGAGGCCTATACTAGAGGTCCTTGGGAACAAAAATAACACATTATTTATATTGTATTTACTATCTGACCCGGCAAACGTCGTGTATGTTATTTCTAGGGAACATTTTTTTAGGTCAATAAAAATAACTATCTACTAAAATAAAAAATAGGGGTTGATCGTAGAGGGGTGACAATTAAGAGTTTTATATATGTTTGTATGCTGTATCATAAAAAAAAATTTGGTCTAAAATTAAAATTTAGGTGTGACCACCCTTAACATTTAGGGGGATGGAAAATAGATGTTGTCCGATTCTCAGACTTACTGAATATGCATAAAAAAATTCATAAGAATCGGTCGAGCCGTTTCGGAGGAGTATGGGAACGAACATTGTGACACGAGAATTTTATATATTAGATAATTATTTCTGTGTAAAATTTTAAGTATAATATTCTATACAGATGGATGAATGTGTCAAGGACTTAATGGGGCTTAATTATTACTAATCATATGATTATTGTACATTGTAAGAGATGTGTATGGGATGTGTGTTTAGGCAAATGCTGTGTATATTCTAATTGTGTTAAATTATAGCAAATCAAATTAAAATTAAAATTTAGTTGAAGCAATAAAAGTTGTAAGATTTAATCGAGGTAAGGGTCATAATTAAATGTTGCGTGGTCCATGTATAAAGTATTTGAAATATCAGAAATATAACAGTTCTTAATCCGTATACCATTATACTGTGAAGATTGAATTAAGCTTTAACGGTTAACCATACCTTACTTACTAAAGTGATCGGAAGACTTGGAAATACGTCCACCCACCACAGTACTTGGTTTTATTTTACCAGCCTATCGCCACTTTCAAAAGTGACAGTACCTGTTAATTTGGGCATTGAGGGGCAGCTGCGCCCACGCCCTAGGGGTCGCCAGCGGGACGCGGACCCCGCGGGGAACCAATATTCACACCTCATTTCACAACTACTGCGCTATTATTGTAATTAAAGGTCTTTTTAAATAAGAAACTTTAAAATCTAGAAAAGTGTCGATTTTTGGGGTCTTCATATGTGAAGAATGGATGGTATGGACTGGTACTGGTTGGAGGTAGGCATCTAAGTGTCAACCTACAAACGGACCAATGCAGGCTGGAATTTTTTCAGTAATTTTTTGGCCATATCACACATTGACAAGCTGTTCTCGTTCGTCGATTAAAATATAATGAATTAGTGGTGACTTAACATTTAATAAGCAATCAAAATTGTGTAGCATAATTTTTAAAAAAATATTTTATTTTTTGTAACTTTTCACCAAATTTCGTGGATTTTTTTTTGTAAAAGATAAAAAAAAACGTATTTTGAATTTTTCACATAAATTTTGAGGTTATGTGAAAAAAGTGTAAATACAAAAGTTTTTGATCTTTTTATTATCTACACTACACTATGACTTTTTTCCATAGGACTTTTAGTTTTGCCGGAAATCGAAATAAACCGTTTTTTTAACCTTAAAAACTCACTCCCTTCCCCTTCCCGACCTCAGATCGCCCGTAAATTATTTTTCCTTAATTTTTTATAATATTCTCCTGCTATGGTTTTCATTATTCATGATAATCTTTCATTCCATTATTTTTTTTTCACTTTTATTACACATTCATCAGAATAACCTTAAAGATGAAAATAAACATTCGCAATATCAAATCACAAAACAAAACAGGTGTTAATCAGACACCCTTTCGAAAAAATCTATTACCATGCACTTTCAATACATCCTATGAATAATGTATATTCGGCCCCCTCAATCAAACTGCACATTTGTTCGTAAGGAAAGACGAGCCTTAATCGGACCCTACTTTATAGTTCACATAATGGAGGACAAATTATACGCTCGGTGACAAGTGCAGAGTCCGTATGTCGGGGTGTCCGTCAGAAGTGGTGTGGGCATACGGCGCTGTAAAATGACGAGCTTCGAAAATTCAGATTGCCAATCTGAATACATATATTAGATAATTATCAGAAAATTATATGAAAGACAAATACGTAAAAACGGAATAAATGTACGTAGTTTTATAATTAAAGTCCTAACAACGTTTTTATCAATTTTTCTATAGAACAGGGGGCAAACAACTAGGAGGCTCATCTGATGTTAAGTGATACCGCCGCCCATGGACAATCAATGCCAGAGGGCTAGCGAGTGAGTTGCCAGCCTTTTAAAAATTGGTACGCTCTTTTCTTGAAGGACTCTAAGTCGAACTAGTTCGGAAATACTTCAGGGGGCAGCTGGTTTCACATAGAGGTGGTGCGCTGCAAAAACAGCGTTAAAACGCTCGGTTTTGGAACGACTGACAATGATGGAACTCAGGTGCAGGTATTAAACCGAACAACTCCTCTGAACACTCTCCATGATAAATGTGTTAGAAGATGCAGAGTGACCCCACATCCCTACGTAACACTATAATAAATATAATTCATGACTAGCTATTAAGTAGGTAAACTCCTTTTCAATTGAACATATCAATTTAAGTTGAAAACAAGACCATGGCCCTTATTTGTTAAATCTACTACATAATTAGTAACTAATCATTTTATTTATAAATGCGTAGGTACTTCAATTAAGTTTTATTTACATCAAAATGTTTTCCTTTATTCGAAAACAGTCAGTATAACGTACAGAACATTATTTGAAAAATACATTAGTTTATAACAACCAAAAGTTTTTCAACCGCTGTGAGCGTGTGTATCCCCAGGGCTGCCCACCATATTATCGCCTCACGCAGCCCTAATCCTATGCGATTACAACAAATACGAATACGGGCCATGCACTCCTTTGTATCTTATCTTTGGTTACATTTGTTATAAAGTGATTATAGTCGCATTAACACAAAAGTATATCAATTTAAACCACAGTATTAACCCTTAGACCATAAATAAGTAATATTTACTAACCTTCAAGGAAAATGTTGTTTTACTTGAAGTGTGTTTTAGTGTGCAGGACAGTTGTGCATTGGTGTTTTAAGAAGGCAAAATATGACCATAAACAAAAAGAAATAATTTATAACGCAGCAAACAAGATTTCGTACCTAGAGAGACCTTCAAAAACCTTTACTAAAGACAAATCAATAAAAACCTAATAGGTTCATGTTTATAAAATAGGTTACTACGTTTTTTTAACTTTTACATTGCGTGTACGTAAGAATTAATTTTAGAAAATGTTTTTGTTATGCCGTTCATCTTTGATGTACCTAAGCATTGAGGTACAAAATAAAAACAATGAGCAACTCAAGCTATTTTAACCTCATTCTAAGGTTAATCTAACACAGTAACACGAAACGTTTTAAATAAACAATGGGTAACATACCTTCCAACCACATTTTAGTAAAAAAAACTCGGTTTTTTAACGTTTTTCACATTGTTTTTGATATTTCTCGACACACGCGTCCGGCCATATTTTTGTTACAATTATAGTAGCTCGACTGCGCAACTCTAAAATGAACAGGCAAAAATGGATCTTAAACTATGAAGTTAAGGTATAAGCTTGAATGGTGAATACACGAGACGCTGTACGCATGTCTTCTAGCTTTCAAAATAATGCGCGGAAGTATGCGCGAGGATGTTTACAGAAAATGTTACTAGATGGCGTAAGTAGGATTAAATTCTCAGAAGACTTACTTAAGCTACGTATTTTATTTTTACATAGTTGACTGTAACCAAAAAAAAAGAAAAAAAAAAAAAAAAAAAAAAAAAAAAAAAAAAAAAAAAAAAAAAAACTGTTATTTAAAATCGCGATGAACTTAACTTGGCTTAAAAATAACCATATCAATTTTATATAATTTTACCCATAATGGAAAGAAAAAACCTATGCTAGAACATATTTCAAAATAATTAAACGAAACAGATGCAGAATCTATGTTATTACGGGAATTTTATTTTGTAAAAGTTTTCTATTCTTCGATATAAGTACTTGTAGTATTACATTGTAGTAGTCTTGCAGTTTCCTAATCCGTTTTTCTGTTATTGGTCTAAGATCCCGATATACAACGACCTTCACCGAGATGCTTATTTAATGAAACGTATTCTATATTTAATTTAATATGTCAATAAATATAATCCATATGGGTTGCCTAGCAAATTTCAGTCCAGAGTATTTTAATTAATATTAAAAAAAAAATATTTTTTTAAACATTTCACCGGTATGATTATTAGATAAATTCTATACAAATCGAAAGTATGAAGCCCATAGAATATGCAAACGTTAGGTTGTTTTTAATCAATTAGTTATTTATGTGTATATTTTTTATGTGACACTAAAGTATATATACATCTTTAGTAAAAAAGAAAGATATAGTGATACATATATAATACTACCCTGATTAAAAATATAGATTGAAAAAAATTAAAAAAAATTACTACATGCAAATTATAAAAAAATATTTTTTTTTTAAATATTAATTAAACATACTCTGGACTGAAACTTGCTAGGCAACCCATATGGATTATATTTATTGACATATTAAATTAAATATAAAATACGTTTCATTAAATAAGCATCTCGGTGAAGGTCGTTGTATATCGGGATCTTATACTATATAGAAGAATGGGCCTTTTGAAAAGAATAAAATTTGTGACATATAAAGTTCATTTATAAAATCGTTGTTAAAGATTGTTATAAACCATGAACGTGTATTTAAATGGTTTTCTTTTAATTTATTAAATACACTAATATTTTTTATTTCCTCAGTCTATTGAGCAGTTGCACTTTGTTTTTAAATATTTGGCCAATATATTAAGTTTTACCAAGTCTATATTTAAACCAGACTAATTAATATCAATATATATTCTATCTCTTCTAGTCTAAAGCGTATCATAATTTATTTTATACGCTATAAAAAAACAATAGAAATCTTAATAAACCTCCTATTAACGCTCAACCCGCGCTGAAATAGATCTTTATTCCCTTTAAGATAAGTACTGAATTACTGACATAACAACGAAACATTCGCAACAAATACAGTCTTAAAACAACATACACTTTATGTAAAAATGTGTTCCTTAATTCAAAAGATAAGTCTCAAAATCGTGTGACGTCTATCACGCTTCAAATGCTTCAGTAATAAATTGTTTATGTTTATATCTGTTAAAAAGAGATGGCAGCATGTAAGCGTGTGGGTACACATGATCAATACGGGGGGAACAAAACCATCCCTAATGGTCGTTTTCTTACATTTGCATGCTAATTGATTTCACTCAGAACCTTCCTTTTGTCTTACATGACGTACATTTCCACGAATTAAAGTCCTGTTGGAAACTGTTACAATTGCCAAGCTTAGTGACAGTAGTTAAGCTTACGATGTTGAATATAAGTTACGTTTAATATTAATTTTAAATTTAGTTATGATTAAGGATTAAAATGAGAATAAATGAAACTATATTATTATGTCTATCTGTTTAAATACTTGTCCGGATTTTTCGAGTACTGTAAACAACTTGTTGACTTCTGTTTAATTTTAAAACAAAAAGCTATACAATTAAAATAATTACACGCTTAATTGTTATTAATTTTAAACGAAAATGAAAGACAAAATTTATACCTTAAAAGTACTTAACGATAAATTAATGCCTTGTAAACAAAAGTAACGTTAGAACTTTATACTATAACTTAGCAGACAATGTGTTTCTTTCCAAAACATACATTTTTTTTACCTCTAATTAAATCCTGACAAAAATATAATAGCTTGTAAAATATTGTAGTTATACACAAAATTTGACCAAGGTACGTTTCTGCGTACTTAAAAAGAATCTTATGATTCAGCACGGAGTTTTTAACGTTAGTAAAATGAACCTACATTTTGCGAAACCAAGAATTTTCCTAGTCTTTCTCTTTATAATATACCTACATGTTACCAAATATATAATTTTGTCTCATTTGAATTCGTATAGTTAAAGATACTTTTGATGTCTGTATTCTCAGAAAGAATAAAGCA